GCTCTCCTTGATGTTCACGCTCTCGTAGCGCATCACCTGGCCAAGAGCCGAGCAAGGCCCCGGTCAGGTCTTCTGGCTCCTCTGCTTCCCTCCCAGGGTGTCAGCGCCCACCAGCTGTGGCCAGCTGAGCCCTGCCCCTGCCACCCCCCAACCTCACAGCCTGGAACCATCAGGAGGCTGCAGACCCCAGCACCTGTGTCCCTGCATTCGTGTCCTGACAGCTGGGGCCAGAGCAGTCTCCCAGTTGGCTCTCTTCCTGAGAGAAATCTCTGCCCCCCTGTGCCCAAACCTGGCAGCCACCTCTATCTGTCCCCACTCTCTGCCCTCCCTCTGTTACAACAGGTGGCCCTTCCTTAAGGCCAGCTTGAGTCCTGATCCCAGCCCCTCCTCCCTTCTTGAGGACATTGCTCCAGCCATGCTCCCCTGTCAATCCCGCAGCGCTGATCAGACTCCCTCTGCTAGATCACTCTCCTTAGCATTCAAATACGCACAATATTGCCCATCTTTAAAAAATGCTCTCTTGGACTCCTCATGCCTCTCCAGTGACCGCCACGTCCCTGCTGTCCTTCACAGCGGCACTCACAGAGGACTTAGCCCATACACTGTCAGCTCCTTCCTCACCTGATCCCTCCTCCACCCACTCCAGTCAGGCTTCTTCTCAATCATTATACGGAAGCCATTCTCGCCAAGGCCCCAGTGACTCCCACCCCACCTATCTCCGGGGTCCTCTCCCTGCACTCTCTGGGTGCTCCAACCTCACGGATGTCCTCTTCTCGCCTTCAGTGGCTTCTCCTCCTCTTCCCGGGGGGGCTCCAGGACTCATCTCTGAACTGCCCTCTCTATAGGAGCTCCCTCGGTCTGGCACCCATCACCAGTTTTAAACGCCACCCAAGCTCTGATGACACTCACATTTTTCTCTGGAATCCTGATGTCTTCTCTAAGCTCCAGACTCCTCTGCTCCCTTCCATCCCAGCACCTCAGAGGCATCTCACACTTCACATATGCAGACCAGTGGTGGATGTGCCACGTGGGGCACAGGTTTGGGCTGGAGCACCCTGGCCTGGGTGCCACTGGCGGGGGACCCACTTCCAGCCTAGCACACTCTCTCCCACCCCCAAGAACCTACAAATAAAACTCACTTTCCTCCGTCCCCTGCCCAGCCCTGCTCTTCCCCACGTACAGGAATGGTCACTCAAGTGAGAAACAGGACGTTCTGGGGTCCCCTCTTTCTCCTACAATGCGGTCATCTGCAAGCGCTCGCACCGTAACGCAAATCGTGCCACTCTGTGGAAATCTTGCCTTCACTCCCTGTCCTAGTCCAAGCCTCCTCTCTAAGCTGGACCCCTGCACTGGCCTCACAACAGGCCTCATGATTCCTCTCCTGCCCTGAAAACAGCAACCTCAGCCTCAGGGTTTCCTTCAAAAAAAACAAGCCTGTTGCTACTTTTCCCTTGCTCACAGCCCTGTAATGGCTTCCCATTGAACCCAATATAAAACCATACCCCCAACCTTGGCCATCGCGGCTGTTCATGAACGTCATGACCCCTACCAGCTCCCCAGACTCCCTCCCGACCAGGCTGTCCTTCGGGCACCGGCCTTTCTGCTATACCTTCTGTTCTGCAGATGAGACCACTGAGACCCAGTGGGGAGTGGGAACTGACTACTCCAGTCTCCAAGTGGAAACACTGGGACATTCTCCTATGTCGTTTATATTTAATTTTCGAGAATGTACCATACCATCAGTCACCCAGGAGCCAATGTCTTTACGAAGCCCATTCTCTGGTCACGTCACTCCCCACTCACGTAGGTGCTGCAATGCCTTCCCCATGCTCTTAGGATCAAGGCCAAAAGCTGAACAGGGTCTGCAAGAACAGCCTCCTCTCCAGCTGGAGAAGGGCGGTACCCCCTCCCGGTGGCTGTGGGCAGGCCCACGACTGCGCAGTGGTACCTGTCTCAGGATGAAGGCCACCACGTCCGTGGACTCCCAGTAGCTGGCGTGGAAGAGGTGGGGCAGGGCCACGGTGGGGAAGGCCGTGAGGACATCAGGGCAGTACAGGGCGTAGTCGATCCTCTTGCTCCCCCACCACTTGGCTGTGACTGTGGGTCGGAGAGGAAGGTGAGGGTGTGTGGCCAGCCCAGGGCCTCACTCGAGGGGCAGTGGGGTCTCCCATTGCCCAGACCAGTGGTGGATGCGTCGCGTGGGGCACAGGTTTGGGCTGGTGCACCCTGGCCTGAAGGAGGCCTGGGGAATGCGCTGCTCTTCCTCTTTCCTTCTCAAAACCCTCCAGCCCTCCGCTAAGATGTACGCAGCAAGCCTGTGCCCAGGAAGGAGGGCCAGACCCACAGAGACGTCCACAGTCTCACCCAGGGCTGCCGCTCAGTGGCAGTTCCCAGTGGGCTCTGCCTGAAGTCGGGGTGGAGACTATGTCTGGAGGGTTCAGGACTTCCTTAATGGTCAGAGGTCAGAGCCCTGCCCAGGTTCAGAGGTCAGGGCTCTGTTTGAGGTCAAAGCTCAGACCCTGTCAGGAATCAGGGGTCACTGCTCTCTTCAAGGTCAGAGCTCTGATTTGAGGCAGGGTCAGCGTTCAGGGCTCTGTCCAGGGTCAGAGGTCAAGGTTCCTCCAAGGTCAGAGCTCAGTCTGGGGCCAGAGTGAGGATGTGGACCGATGCTGGATCTCCACCAGCAGACGCCCGGCTCTCTAAAGGCAGAAGCAGACCCCAGGACTTCCTTCACCCTCTCCCCACCCAAGGACCTGCCCTCAGCAGCTCTAGCAGTGACCCAGCAACCACCCAGAGGAAGGTTCCCCTCCCCCGAGTCCAGGCAGGGCCCCAAAAGGACCTCACTCACTGCGGGAGGCTCCCACGGGTGCCATACTGTCCGAGGACTCCGAGCTTTCGCTGTGGGAGCTTCCCTCGCTCATCCTCCGTCCTGGGCGCCGGAACCTCAAGGCCTGGCGGGGTGAGGCAGGGGCGTCCGGAAGTGGCGGGCTGTCCCGGGAGCCGCCCTCCAGGAAGAGGGGGCTGTGCGTGTGTAGGGCATCAGCTGGAGGGGGAGTTTCAAGGTCAGGCTGAGTCACGTGTCTCCAGCAGAGCTGCCCACTCAGTGCCAGCCCTGTGCTAGGTGGGAGGCTGGGCACTTGGAAGAGCCAGCCCTGGCCCTGCTCACTTGCCAGCCCAGCAGGCACCTGCCCCTCTCACTGTGCCCACCCCACCAGCCCCCTGAGCCTGAAGGGACCCCGTTGCCACAGCACATCGCCACATTTACCTCCCTGCAGCTGTGAGTTACGCAGAGTCCCAGCCATCACCTCTACCCCCAATAAAGCTGCAGAGGGAGCCTCTGGGACATTGCCCCAAAAGCACCAGCTGAGGTCCCAGGAGTGACTCACAGCCATGTCCTCTCTTATCCAACTCCTCCCCTGCGCCACAAAGGATTGAGGCTGCCTCTGGAAGGGAATGGGGACTCCTGCCGGAGAGCTAGGATAGCCTCAGGGGAGGGAGGGGAGTCCCCTGACCAAAGAGGGACCTGTGGGGGAGGGGGTTTCCAGCCCAGCCGACCTAGTGAAGCTCCAGGAAGGCAGGGATTTGGAAACAAAGGCTCCATTGAATTAGGGGTGAGGAAGGGATGGTTTTTAATCCTGAATCAGCCCCAAGCACAGCTCCCCCATCCCTGACATAAACCTCTGAGCAGGCTTAAGCTAAACGTCCTCAAGTAGGGCGTGGAGCCAAGGCTCCGATTTCTAAGCTGCTGACTGTCCATTACAGGCCTCCCATCGATGACACACTCGATCCATGCCCGGATCACCCCACTTGACCCTGGAGGCCACTGGCTCTTCACCAAACCACCTGCCCTCACTCCTTCTGTTCTCCCCACCTAGAAGATCTCAGTCCTCATCCTCTAGCTCTTCCCCACCTGTCCAAATGCACCTCCCCTGTCTGGACCCTAATCAAAGGCCACCTCTTCCATCAAGCCCACCAGGATGGCACACTTTCTGCCCTACCCCTCCAGAGTCCAGGCCGGGCACTCACAAATAGCCTGGAGCACGGATCCCTGGACCTGCCATCAGGTCTGAAAGCTCAAGTGTTACACCAGCCCTGGCCACAGGAGTGCGTCCGGGAGCCTGTTGGGGGACAGAGCCTGGGTCTCTGAGCCCCAATATGCCTCAGACGGAGCAGGTGCTTAGCACAGGTGGGCGACTCTGAAGACAGGGGAGTCAGCTAACCTTCTGTTCTCACAGCCCCTGCTCAGGTGAGCTCGCGGAGAGCTTGGAGGGGCTGAACGGACTGGGGCCCCACCTCCAGCTCAGCACACTCTCTCCCACCCCCAAGAACCTACCGAGGAGGAGGGACTGCCCATCGCCCAGTGGGAACCTCTGGTAGCGAGGCACGCTGACAGGCGGCACCAGGTGGAACTTAGGCTCCAGCAGTGGCTCAAGCCGTGAGGCAGAGGGGTCGGCGCAATGGAAGAAGCTGTAGACCTGGCTGCAGGCAGGACGCACCTGGAAGCCTGGGGTGAGTGGGAAGACAGAGGGAAGCCCCTTTCTAGTACCTGCTCCCTGGGCCCTAGGAGGCTCCCTGGAGTGTAGCCTGGAGTAGCCTACTCCCCTCTCAAGAGCCTCCCCGGGCTCCCTGCTCCCCACGGGAACAAAGCCGTTACGTTCAGTTTGTCTCCCCACCCAGGAGTGCAGTGATAGGCACTCAGCACTGCAGCCGTGGTGCACAGCTGCCCTTCCTCAATCAGGCTTGCAGCTTTCCTTTCTCTGTGCCTTTGCTCAAACCATCCCTTCTCCTTGCGGGCCTTCCCTCCACCATTTCCATGGGGCAACTCCTTTAGATTCTTCCGGTTTTCACTCAGTTACCACCTGACCTAGGAAGCCAACCCAGGTTCCTTCAGGCAGGTCAGCTGCCCCTTCTGCAGGCCTCAGGGCTGTAAACACTCAGTTCCCAGGCCTGCTGCTGCAGAGTTCCAGGTTTGCCAGAGTTGGTGGAACACGTCTCCCATTGACCAGCAGGTGTCTCCACTGAGGCCTCCACCTCATCGGCGGGCCTCCCTGTCCTTCTAGAACAGGGACCGGACCCTTCAGCATCCCGGAAGCCCTAGGGTTCACTAGTGACATTAAGGGCAGCCATGGAGTTCTGCCTCCGCACCTCCATTTCTACCAGAACTCTTCCCACTTTATCTGTTCCATATCGTAGTTCAGCAGTAAACTCTGGCCAAAAGCATGGATCTGTGGATACCCAAGGTGCCCTGCAGCCTCAGATGGTCTGTGCTTCAGTCCTTAAGAGTCACGGCTACCCTCCCCACCCCCATGCCTGCTGGTGCCAATCACCTGGTGTGTACATTTTAGAGGAGCAGGAAAAGGCATTCAAGGTTGCAGGTATTAGCTTAGCCGGGCGCAGTGGCTCACGCCTGTAATCCCAGCAATTTGGGAGGCCGAGGCGGGCGGATCACTTGAGGTCAGGAGTTCGAGACCAGCCTGGCCAACATGGTGAAACTCCATCTCTACCAAAAATACAAAAATTAGCCAGGCGTCATGGTGGGTGCCTGTAATCCCAGCTACTAAGGAGGCTGAGGCAGGAAAATTGCTTTAACCCAGGAGGCAGAGGTTGCAGTGAGCTGAGATCGCGCCACTGCACTCTAGCCTGGGCGACAGAGTGAGAATGCCGTTAGAAAAAAAAAAAAAAAGGTATTGAGTAGAGCAAAGGCACTTGCAGTGGGCTTGGGGCTATGCGGGGGTGGGTGGTGGGACCAACCTGGCAGTCATGTCTGCCTCAGTACAGGAGAAAGAGAGGGTGGGAGGCAAGAGGGTGAATATTCTGTCTTCTCTTCCCCATAGGGCATGACCGCCGGACAATGGGGCCACAAAGAGCCAAGGGCACTTGATGTGGAGTGAAATCCATCTGAAGTTGCCTCACCTTCGTCCTGTGGTCCTGTGTCGGGAGGGAAGCGGCTCCGCTCTCCCTCCACCCTCTCTCCTCTCTTTCCACCTATCCCAACTCTGTGACCCTCCTGTCCCCATCCCCGACTCCACTCCCCTCATTCCAAGGCCCTGACACGGTGGCCCCAGTGACACACGGGCACCTCAGGCCCCCGCCCACACCATCCCTACCGTCCAGCCCAGGCAGCACCGTCCTCCGCATGGCCAGGACCAGGCCCAGTGGCGAGCCAAAGAGGAAGAAGTCGGACACATCGAAGTCAAAGCGGCCCAGGCTGACCTCGGGGAGCTGCGGCCCCGCCGCCGCCGGGGTCTCAGACTCATCCTTTAGCACGCTGGAGTGGATGCTGTGGAGGGAGGAAGATGCAGGGCAGGGCAGGTCAGGGAAGGACCGAGAATGCGGGAGCGTTCACTCAGCAGCACAGCCTGAATTCTGAGCACGGAGTGCCCAACCCTCCATCTCTGGGACGGGGCTGAGAGTGCACACCACCCACAGTCAGCACTGGCCACCAAGGCCTGGCTGGTATTTGACTAGAAAAGGAATCAACAAACTTTTTCTGCAAAGGGCCAGAGTCAGTATTTCAGACTTTGTGAACCGTGTGGTCTCCATTGCATCTAGTTAACTCTGCCGTTGCAGCACGAACGCGCCCATGGACGGTGATTAAATATGCATGGCTTGGATCCAATACAATGTTACTTACAAAAACAGGATGAGCACCTGGGGCGCCCGAGCATCCTACACACCGGCAGGCCTGCCTCATCACGCTGGCTTTGTGATGGCCACGCTGAGGATTCCTGCACTGTGTATCAGACAAGCCCGGCCTGCCCAGCACCCAGCTGGCTAACGTCAGTTCTGTTCTGCTGGCATCAGGGCTTTCATCCTAACTCCCGTTCCAGGCAACCCGCAGACACAGATGCAGACAGCTTGGTCTCCCCACCCCCAGCCCCAGCCCACAGATGAAGTAGAGCTTAAGGAGAAAAATGTGAGACACACAGAATTCCAACCCAGGTGCCCACTGCCGCGGGAAGAATCCGAGTTACGTTCAGCCACAGACCCAGAGTAGGGCGCTGAGAATCAGAAGGAAACCTGGGCACCTTCCTTACCTTCCAGCCAGCATTAGCTACAGCTTAAAGTGAACCGATTAACTGAATGCAAAGCAACTAAACTACTTGAGTTACAGGAGAACAAACTCTAGAAAGAGCCATTGAAATCGTGGGGACAAGGGCCCTACCCTCGGGAGTGAGCGAGTCGCCAAAGCTGAATCCTCAGTCCCCACGCTCCCTCCTGCCTCTCGCAGTGTGAGCATCTCACAGTGAGACGATGACTCTGATGTTTAACAATACATATTTCATGTACAGCGTGGTCCCTAAACACACGCCAACTACTTAATTGCCAGAGAAACCACCATCTGTCCCTGCACCAGAGGGGAAAGCTGGCTGTGTCAGACCAGCTCCTGGAAGCCTCCAACTTCTCGTCACTCTCCCAATTTGGGGCTCTCCTAAAGGATTTTTCAAGGATGAACCAGGAATGTTGAGATTTTTTTTCACCTTGCAAGCCTCACTAGAAGGTAGCTGCTTTTCTGAAGGATCATCTGTCAGCAGGGCTTTAAACATTCAGCGATTTCAATGGGCAGAGCCTTTGACCTAGTAACTCTTCCTCCAGGAGTCCATCCAAATATAATCACCCTAATATACACACTAATGTTTATGCACAAAAATGTTCACTGTAGGGCTATTTATACTGCTAAGGAATTGGAAATAGCCAAAATGCCTAATTATAGGGATTAAGTAAACTGATCTCCATTCACTCGATATTATATTGCCATTAAGAATATTTATCAAGTATTTTTAATTATATCAGGAAAAGATCACAATGTAAAGGGTTTTTTTTTTTTTTTTTAAGTAAAACGATCTTAAAAGCATGTAGAAGGAAATAGTCTCAATGTTCACAGTGAGACGATTGGCTTCCTCTGGGTGGTGAGATGATACATTTTCCAAATGTTGTAACGACCTCAAGGTACCACTTGGGTAAGGAGGAAGGAGAAAGAAAGGAAGAAGAGCGCCGAGGCGCAAAGGAAAAAGAAAGAGGCTTTCCTTCCAATTGGGGTCCAAGTTCAATTAATTTGTAAGCTGAATTAATGTGCAGATAATGTGTTTAGCCCATGTTGATGAACATGTCTCTTCTAGAAAGTTAAAGGGTAGGCAGTTCTGTAGAGGAACCTGCCTGGCCCACAAACAAAAGTGTGTTGGATTAGAAAGCACTGAACGTGGGATAGGGAGACCAGAATGACGATCCCAGCTCTTCCGTTACTGGCCGCGTGACCCCTACTTGGCCCTCTCTTTCCCTGTGAGAAATAACAACGCACACCTAGGGTGACTCACAAAAAATAGTCACAGCCGTTATTCCACCAGGTTCTTAAAACCATGCAGTGAAGCAGGCTGGGCAGCATTTATCTTTTTGCAGAAGAAAAGCCGAGGCTCAGAAAAAGACGACTGTTCCCAGTCTCTCTGCAAGTCCGAGCAAGGCAGGGACAGGGACCAGGTTCCAGAGTCTCAGTACAGGGCCGATGGCAAGTAGCCTCGGTCCCTCAGTGCAGGGCCAACGGCGAGTGGCCTCGGTCCCTCAGTGCAGGGCGGACGACAAGTGGCCTTGGTCCCTCAGTGCAGGGCGGACGGCCAGTGGCCTCGGTCCCTCAGTGCAGGGCCGACGACGAGTGGCCTCGGTCCCTCAGTGCAGGGCAGACGGCCAGTGGCCTCGGTCCCTCAGTGCAGGGCGGATGGCCAGTGGCCTCGGTCCCAGCATTTCAATGCTTATCTGTGGGCCCCCACGGAAGGGCCTGGGACATATGACTGGTCACAGCCCTCCCAGTTGACTCTGAGCCAAGGTCTTCTTGCTTCTGGGTGCTTTGACAGAATGCAAGCAGGGGACAGGGAGGGGCTACCTTGAGAGGAAGGCATGATGCTGGGTGATGGCCTCGCAGTCATAGGTGGAGGAGTCGCTCTGTTTCCGTGGCAACGGCCTCTTGGGCTCCTCATCCTCCAACCCACTGGAGATGTCAATGTTGCTTTTGCTGAGACGCTTGCTGCTGGCCAGACTGCAATCTTCCTCCACCGCAACTGGGGTGTCCTTTGGGACCGAACAGGGGACAGGAGAAAAAAGGACTGTTGTCACGGGAGACTCTGGGGCCCTGTCTCCTCCACTCAAGCACAAACCAACCCCTTCATCCTAAGATGTGAGGGGCTACCCTTCTTCCAAAAGACACAGGAAGCCATGTCATAATCATGGTAGGATTTTAGGCATAGACTCTCTCCCGCATCCACAGGATTGACATTCCCGCTGGGACGCTGGACGGCTGTCGAAGGAGCCAAATCCAGCTCTCCGGGCCTCAGTTTCCACACCTGTCATAATAATCCCCTGCTACTCTTATGGGATTAGGAATACACTTCTTCTTTTTCTTTTTTTTTTTTTCTTTTTTGAAACAGAGTCTCCCTCTGTCACCCAGGCTGGAGTACAGTGGTACGATCTTGGCTCACTGCAAACTCCGCCTCCTGGGTTTAAGTGATTCTCGTGCCTCAGCCTCCCGAGTAGCTGGGATTACAGGCGCGCACCACCATGCCCGGCTAATTTTTGTATTTAGTAGAGACGGGATTCCACCATGTTGGCCAGGCTAGTCTCAAACTCCTGACCTCAAGTGATCTGCCCAACTCGGCCTCCCAAAGTGCTGGGATTACAGGCATGAGCCACTGCGCCCAGCCGGATTATGATACACTTCTTTGTAACCTGGATGTCATGGTGCCAACGTGAAGAACCAGCACTGTCTCCCTGAGGGGCAGGCCCTACCTCTGTGGGCACAGCCCTCCCGCAGTCCTGCCCCCCAGCCGTACCTGGGTGCTGCTGATGCTCCCCTTCCGGCTGCTGCTGGCAGGGCTGTCCCCTGAGGGCCCCGCACTGTAGCAGATGGCATCGAAGGCCAGGAGGCCCCCCACACAGTCCCCGATGAGACATACCTGGAAGAGATGCAGCTGGGACTGCAGGCCTGCCCATTGCTGGTCCCTCACCCCACACCCGGCCAGAGCAGTGCTGCCTCCTCACAGGAGAATGAGAACTCGTTCTTGGGAGGCATTGAGAGAGCCCAGTTGGCAAACTGGGGGGTCAGGGTTGACGTCGGCCCAGGTCAGCCCAAGGACGGGGAGAAGGCTATTCTCAGGGGTCAGACTTGGGCTGGAGAGCAGCATGGGCTCAGAATCAGAACTCAGACTGTTGGCCTCCATTTTTCCATCTGTAAAATGAGGGCAAACTCAGAGATCTCAAAAGCCGACTTTGAGCTCAGAGGCTGATTCGAGAACAGCCTGGCCTTGGTCTTTTCAGTAGATTCCAGCCTCTCTCCCAGGCAGGGGCCGGAACGGGGCAGGGGAGAGGAGGGGAGGGCGGGCTGTCCTACCTGCCCACTGAAGCCGATCCCATCGGAGGACTTCAGGAACTCTCTGTAGACCTGGTTGGCTCGCTCGATGACGGTGGCGACAGCGTCCTGGTACTGCGGGGAGGAGATGGCCAACAGGGGAAGGGCGGCCAGAGGGACGTGGTCCTGGCTGCTGCTGAGGCAGCCCTCATCATGGCTGTAGGGGTTCAGGCTGCAGACAGGGGGCCCAAGGTGAGCCCAGCCAGGATCGGGCAGGTTGGCAGGTTTGGGGCTGAGAATCAGGCAGAAGAGAGCGCATACTGGCCCGGAATTGGGCTCCCGGGACCCTTCAGGAAGACCCAGGCGGGAGCCTGGTGACACAGAACACAGGCAGTGTAGGGAGGAGAGGGGAAGAGGATTCAAGCCTACACTGACTCCCTGTGTGTCCTTCCTGTGTTGGCCATGGGTGTGGGTCCGGGGGTCCCTGTGACTGTGGTCTCTATTGCCGTCTTCTGCATGGCCCCAAAGGACACCCCAATCATAGAGGAAGAAGTCAGCTGAGGAGTCAGCTAGTGTGGAACATATCATCATGGCAGACTTCCTGGAGGAGGTGGGGCTTGAACTAGGCCTCATGGAAGGCTTTGAAGAAGCTGGGAAAGGAGGAGACAGGGCATGCCAGGCTTGGGGTTCATATGTTGGCCACAGCTTGGAGCTGAGCACATGGCTACAGACATGATGTGTTCACTGTGTCACTGGGAGAAGATCAGAGCTTTCATTAGCTTTGCAGAAAGTTCTGTGACCCCAGAGGGGGCTGAGAGCCTGCCCAACAGTGTCCAGTCAGCAGACTGTCCAGACTTTGCATTGGTGCCCTCAACTCCCTACCTTCCCACTAGGAAATGCCTCCCTCTCTGGGCAGCTCAGACTCACTTGAGACCAGTGCCTCCGAGTCACCTGCCCCTGCCTCTGCCCCAACCTCTGCTTCTGTTCCCTGGGGCTTCCGACCCAGGTGCATTGTTGGACCTGGCTGGTTAGGAAGGACCATAGCGGGAGGCTGGGAACTCTCCACCCCTGTCCAGAGCCTGCCCTTCCCCCTTAGCCCAAGCTCAGGCTGATGGAGCCCAATGCAGATCCCACTGGCACTCGACAGAATCTGGGGCAGGTGACAGGGCTCGAGCACTCTCAGCAGGTGGCAGAGTCCTCGTGGTGTACAAGGTTGGCCCTGTCAGCCATTCCTCATCTCCAAAGAACACAAATTAGAGGAAACAGGCCTCGATTGCAGCGGAGAGATTTTAATTAGCTGAGAAAGAGCTCCCTCCCAGCCGTGATTACGGGGTGATGAATGGCCCTGGCAAGGAGCTGCCTGGGGGAGAACTAAGCTCCCTCCTGCCGGCCCGCGAATGGCTGGGCCATCCGTCTTCCTGGAGATAGAGGTGACCCAGCTCTGGAGGTCAGATGTCCTGGGGACAGGTACAGGGGTTCCTGAGATGGATGATGAACTTGCACAGTGAAGTCCTGGACTGGCAGAGGGACAACGGAACATGCTATGCCACCAGCTAGGCAGTGAGCAGGTGTCAGAGATGCAGATTCCGGGGCACCTCCCTCCTGAATCAGCCACCGCCCGGGGGAGGCCTGGACATCTCGCAGTTTAACAAGAATCACACCAGGGATTTGGGCAATTAGCCAGGTTGCGGAATTACGGACCTAATCTCCTTCCTTCCTTCCAACTCTGATGGAGATCTGCCCGCAATTCCTGGTGGTGTCCAAGGAATGCAGATAAATCAGAGTCTCTGACTTTCCCCCTATCCAGAGGGGGAAAAGGAAGGCCCAGGGAAGGGAAGGGGCTTGCCCATGCTCTCTCCCGACCAGCTGGAAGCTCCACGGCAGGGGACTCTGGCCCTCCCCACACGGAGCCCTCCTCAGAGCCACATCTGACTGAGAACAGTGGCTCCCATTCTCCTGGGGAATCGGGGGTGCGGTGTGCCCCACACACCTGGCACTCTGCTAGGGGCCTCTTCGCACCTTCCCCAGCTCCGGAGCCCCAGGGTATGAGGGCCCTGCCTGAGGGCTGGGCTCTGCAGCGGCCCCAAGTCTCTGGCAGGGTCCTGTGAGGGGGAGAGGCAGAATGGAGGTGCAGAGGCCTCCCTCCTGCCCCCGACTGAAAGTTCTCAGCTGCCAGCCCCAGCGATCTGCCAAATACCTACAGGATTTGGGCCCTGCAGGCATTTGGGTCATTTTTTACACATATGACTGCTGAGAATCCAGGTATCCACCCGGCCCCAGGCACTTACTTTTAGCTAGTTCAACAGGACAGGTAGACGGGGAGCACTGCAGTCCTCAGGGCCTGGAGCAGTGGGTGGAGCTCCCAGAGGCCCCACACCCTGGAGGTCCCCTCAGTTTGTCCCCCACAGGTACCAGGGCCCACAGTGGGCAAGGATATGCCAGCGTCAGCAGTGAGCAAGCTACCCGGCGCTCAGCCAGCCCTTCTGTGCACACATCCTTCCCTCCTTTCTCCCCACCAGCTGGGTTCCCTACTGCGAGCTGGAAGTCTCCCTCCCCAGCCCACTCTCCACCTGCAGAGAGAGCCCCTCTTCCAGCCAGGAGGAAGATGATGTGAGTGACAGCTAGCATCCCCGAGGCTGGCATCCCCATGGTTAGCATCTCCGAGGCTGGCATCGCATGGCTAGTATCCCTGAGGCTAGCATCACATGTCCAAGGCTGGCATCCCCATGGCTAGATCCCTACAGCTAGTATCCCCAAGGCTGGCATCCCCATCGCTGGATCTCTAAGGCTGGCATCCCTATGGCTAGTATCCCCAAGCTTGGCATCCCCATAGCTAGTATCCCCGAGGCTAGTATCCCCATGGCTAGATCCCCACAGCTGGCATCACCAAGGCTGGCATCCCCAAGGTTAGCATCCCCAAGGCTGGCATCCCCATAGCTAGTATCCCCGAGGCTAGTATCCCCATGGCTGGATCCCCACAGCTGGCATCCCTAAGGCTGGCATCCCTATGGCTAGTATTCCCAAGACTAGTATCCCCAAGGCTGGCATCCCCATGGCTGGATCTCTAAGGCTGGCATCCCTATGGCTAGTATCCCCAAGCTTGGCATCCCCATAGCTAGTATCCCCGAGGCTAGTATCCCCATGGCTGGATCCCCACAGCTGGCATCCCTAAGGCTGGCATCCCCATGGCTAGCATCCCCAAGGCTGGCATCCTCAAGGCTAGTATCCCCGAGGCTAGTATCCCCATGGCTGGATCCCCACAGCTGGCATCCCTAAGGTTGGCATCCCCAAGGCTGGCATCCCCAAGACTGGCATCCCTATGCACTTTCTACGTTTTGGACACTGTGTTGAGTGCTTCACACACATTAGCACACAGACTCTTCACAGCCACCCTGAGAGGTTATTTACTAAGGCTACCTTCATTGTATAGATTAGGAAACTGAGATAAGGAGAGGTTCAACACGTTCCCCTGATCACACAGCCAGGATTCAGATCCATGCGGCCTGAGAGCCCACACACTTAGCCATGGTATGCAAACCCAAAAGTCACTGCTCCAGGAAGTCCTCTCTGGCCTTTCTCGGAGAGCCCACAGTGCCCTGTTCCTCCTCCATCACAGCACTGTGATATCATGAGGTAGACAGATAGATCAGATAGATAGATAGATAGATAGATAGATAGATAGATAGATAGATAGATAGATAGACAGACAGACAGACAGAGATAATGGATGGACGGATAGATGGATGGATAGAGTGATGAGGATGGATGGATAGATGGATGGATGGATGGATGGATGGATGGATGGATGGATGGATGAATACCTAGATAAATAGAATAGAGAGAGAGAGAGAGAGAGAGAGAGAGAGAGAATAGATGGATAGGTTTGTCCAAAGTTCCTGGCTCCCGTAGCCGTTGTTATAATGTTGGGGCATTTAGGCCTTGGAAAACAGAATCAATCTCTCTCTGTCTCTCTCTCTGACATTCTCCTGCCCTCCTTTAATTCTCTCCCCAGGCAGGAACTTCCCCCCACCTTTCTGTCTTGGAGCTGGCTGTGAAGAAATTCTCTGACCTCCCTTGTCGAATTGAGGTCAAGAGACCCTCGTTTCAGAAGGGGTCCTGCCCCATACCGAGGAGGAAGGAATGCTGTGGAGAGGCCAAGAAGCATCTGAGCAGACAGGCCCTGCGGGGTTTCCCCACTTGGTCTGAATGTCAGACCCTTTTTATCCAACCACATATCTACGTTGTCAGTCATGCCTGGCCAATGACACCTCCATTCCAGAGACAAAAGGACAGGAGAGCTTCCAGAGACCTGAACGTGTGGAGGTTTCTAGAGGCCGGCACACCTAGGGAAGCTCCACGCCCCTTCTCCCATTCCTCACCTTATGCCTCTCTTCATCTGTATCCTTTATAATAAACCAGTAAATGTGATTCAGCATTTTCCTGAGTTCTGTGAGCCCATCTAGCAATTAATTGAACCTGGTGACAGGGTTGCGAGAACCCCAGCTGGAAGCTGCGCTGTCAGCAGTGCAGGTAAAACAAACTGGGGCACGGTATCGGTGTCGGAAGTTTGGGGCAGTCTTGTGGGACCAAGCTCTCACCCCGTGGATCTGATGCTATTTGCAAGTAGACAGTGGCGGAATTGAATTGCAGGGCACCCAGCTGGTGCCCACAGCAGAACTGACTGCTGTGTACGGAAACAGCCCCTCACATGTGGCCCCGGAAGTCTCCTGTGTTGACTGTTACGGTGTGAGAGCAAAGGAGAAACACCATTCGTGTTTTTCAGATTCCTACTTGGCTGCAACTGTGTGGCTGAGTTTGACTCCTGTCTCCATGGGCTGGGCAACCCTAGGGGAAACTGCTCAACCTCTCGACACTCAGTGTCTTTATCTGGGCCAAACAGAGCAGGCTTGTTGAACACAGGAAGTGGCTCAAGATTTCACAGGACCCCAGCACACCCAGGCAAGGCGGAGGACTCTTCCCAACACCTTCCACCAGGGATGCTTGTGTTTCATCAGGATCTGACATCCTGGAGAGTCCACCTGCCCATGGGGTCCATGTTGTGGGGGAAGCCCCTCCACGTAGTCCCCCAACTAACCCCAACCAGTCCAAACAAGCAGAAATGGACTCACTGAGAGACGAGCGAGAAAGCCTCAGAGCAGATGGCAGGACAGGGGACGAACTTGATGAGGATGTGGCCCAGGGCAGCAGGGAAGTGGGCTCGTGTGACCTTCTCCAGCACGGAGCTGAAGGTGTGGATGTCGGCTGCCTTGCAGGACGGGTCCCCGGCGCCCGTGTCCAGGATGTTTCCCCCGTGCAGGACCAGCAGGAGGACATGCGTCTTGCAGGAGCGCTGCGGGCAGCCTTCCTGAGAGCCAAGGCGGTTGGGATACAGAGAGAGAAAGGCGGCTGGGGTAGGGGGAGGTACACAGGGACACACACACACAGGGATGCACACAGGGACACACACGCGCATGCTCACACACACGGGGAGACTGAGGCCAGAGAAGCAGGCACTATGTCCAGCCTGTCTTAACTGCAATCTGAGGAGTAGTCTCAGCTCGAATACTCCCCGCTGTGTGACAGAACCTCGGGGGCATTCAGAGTGAGGGAAGGACACGGGCTGCCAGGAGGGGTGGCAGGGCAGGAAGAGTCCCAAGAGACGCTTCCTGTTCATCGGGAACCCAAAGCCCAGGGAAGGACACGGACCCACCCAGGGTCACACAGCAAGTCAGATGAAGAGCTGGAAGAAAATGAGGCCGCCTAGTATCCAAGGGCACTTCCTAAAATCCCGGCCTCCGAGGCGGGCCCAGACGCCCTCCGAAACCCAGCCCACCTCGCTGTCTTCGTGGATCTCGATGCTTCCCTGGGCCGGGAACCTCTGTCTTCTCAAGGAAACCCGGTACAGTTCTCCTGCAGAGGGAAAGGAGGGCTCAGCATCCTCAGGTGATCAGACACTCCCTGGGCCCAGCTGGCCCTAAAGGTGAGGCCTTGGCTTACATCATAGGTGAGCTCAAGTTAGTTAGAGTCTGGAGCTAGGAAGAGTCACCCCATCCAGGCCCTGCCTCTGAGACCCACACAACATGAAGCCCTTTCTCCTCACAAGGAAAGGGAGGGTGGCAGAGTGAGGCCGTCGCGGATGGTGCTCCTGAAAGGAGGGGCTTCCTCGAAAGGAACCAGCCTGCGTTTCTCCACCACAGGAAGCAGCAAGGCTGAGTGCCACCCGACGACTTCCACTGCCAGTTACGGACGGACGGCGATTTGAGCCAAGCCGCCCGCTGAGAACAACTCGAATTGCTGGTGTGATGGCAAATTGTATGCACCCTCTCTTGACAGGGCTGAGAGGTGCCCAGAGAGCTGGTAAAACACACTCTCTGGGTCTATCTGTGAGGTGTTTGGGGAAGAGGTTGGCATTTGAAGCAGTGAACGAAGGCGATCTGTCCTGCCAAGGCGGGTGGGCACCGTGCAGTCCGTGAGGGTCTGAGTAGAACAAAGTGGTGCAGGGAGGGAGGATTCACTCTTCTCAAGCTCAGACTTCCATCTCCTGCCTCACACATCAGCACATCCGCTTCTCCGGCCTTGGGACTTGAACTGGGATTCATGCCATTGTCTCGCCTGGTTCTCCGGCCTTTGGGCTTAGGCTGGAACTACGCCACAGGCTTTCCTGAGCCTCCCAACTTCCAGACAGCGGATCAGGGAACCTCTCAGCCTCCATCATCACAAGAGCCAGTCCCTTATAATAAGTCTCTTTTTTCTTTTTCTTTTTCTTTTTTTTTTGATGGAGTTTCACTCTTGTTGCCCAGGCTAGAGTGCAATGGTGCAATCTCAGGTCACCGCAACCTCCTCCTCCGAGGTTCAAGCGATTCTCCTGCCTCAGCCTCCCGAGTAGCTGGGGTTACAGGTATGCGCCACCACACCTGGCTAATTTTATTTTTAGAAGAGACGGGGTTTCTCCATGTTGGTCAGGCTGGTCTCAAACTCCTGACCTCAAGTGATCTGCCCGCCTTGGCCTCCCAAAAGGCTGGGATTACAGGCACGAGCCACCGTGCCTGGCCAATAAGTCTCTTTTTATACATCTGTGTATATATCCTTTCAGTCAGTTTCTCTAGAGAACCCTAATACAGCTGGATAAATACTTTTAAAATACATGTATATGTATGTGTGTGTGTGTGTGTGTATGTGTGTGTGTATACATATATACATATTTGAAGTTATCAGAGAGATAATAGAGCCCTGAATTACGGGACCACTTTCTAGGGAAGGCAGACTCCCAGAGAGGTAAGGTCAGCATTTGAAACACTCTTGGTATCCCCCATGAGCTTTAGGGTAAAGCTTGCCTTTGCCAGAAATCTCTCCTTGCTCCTCTCAGCAGCCTGGGCTCAACAGCTCCTCCTTCAAGAAGTCCTTCTTCGCTTCCAGCCCTCCCTGAGCTCTCATTTCCCTCACACAGAATTCAGTAAACCACAGCCATGGACCAAATCTGCCCCACTGCCTGTTTTTTGTAAATAAAGTTTTATTGGAACACACTCAGGCTCCTTCATTTACAGATTGTCTATGGCAGGCGGCTTTTGTGCCATAGGAGTGGAGCAGTCACAGCAGACACCTTACAGCTTACAAAGCTGGAAATATTTATTATCTGGCCCTTTCCAGAAACGCTTGTCAACCCCTGATCTAACACCTACGCCCCTGAATGTCATGACATTGGACTCCTGGGTGGAGACACTTCAAAGCATCCAACGGCCACCCCCGAGCCCCCACCCAAATGATACCTGCCGCTCTGAGGACTCCTTCCTGCCTCCAGGCTGCCTTCAGCTCCTCTCCTTCCTCTCCCGTGAGATGGATGCTACCTCCCGTGTGTGGCTAAAACCTACAGCCAAGCTGAACCACCTGTTTGTCTTCAGGGAGGAGGAACTGGCTCATTTCTCTCTTAAAGTCGCAGGTTCTAGATAAAGATGGTCCTTGCCTTCTTCACACCCCCCGCACCCCCACCACAGCCTGCTGCTCCCCTCTAGGAGTCACGTCTGGGGAGGGTACTTCCGGGGGCTTTGTGGGCAACGCTAGGCACCCTGTCAACATCCCCTCACCACGACCAGCCCCAGCGGAGGGTACCTCTACAAGGAACTGCACATGAGAAGCTTTTCTCAGCAGGGAAGAGCATTTCTGAAATATCCAGTCCCCCCAGACACAATCCCAGTCAAAGGGTAACTGCTTTATGAGCTCCGAGCTGCCCACACAGACAGGAAATCGTTTCCTAAATGCAGGAGGAGGGAAAACCCATCCTGGGGCCCGGCTGTGCCCAGCACTTCCTAGTTCTTCCCACTGGCTCAGCTCTCCTGCCTAATTTCTAACTTACTAAAGACGTTGCCCTGGGCTTGGCTAGAGGAGACCCAGGCTCTCCCCTCAGGACAGGATGATAACACAAGACAACAGTAATGGCTCAGCTTTATTAAGCACTTATTATGTCCTGGGCGCTATGTGCTTTACATGATTCATCCTGTCTGGTCCCCGCAATTTCTCTCTGAGTCTGAATGGTCTTGTAATTAGCCCCATTTTACAGATGAGCAAACCGAGACTCAACCTACGTCACCTGCCCCAAGTACCTTAAAGGTTCAAGCCCAGGTCTGCCGCTGCCAGGCCCGTTTCCACCCCATGAACTAGCACCAGGAGGGAGATGGTCTGAGTGTGGCTTCCCTGAGACAAAGCGCTCATGCTTCATGGTGTGTGCAGCTGTGTGTGCGACTCTGGGGCAGGCTGTGAGTCAAGAAGAACAAGGAGTGACGGCAGGGCTGAGGTTGGCTCTAGGGCTGGGAGGAGCGTGGTTAAAGCCAGGGACCCTGGATCACATCTGAGTTCACCTGAGTTCACATCTTGGCTTTTATCAGCTGTGTGACCTGTGCCTCAGTTTCTTCATCTGGAATATGGGGATAATAAAAGCAGCTACCCCATGGGGTGGTGGTGAGGATAGATGAGTTCGTATGCATAAAGGGCTTAGAGCAGGGTGAGGAACACAGGAAGTGTCACATGGGTTAGCTGCTATTGTTATTATTATCACTATCCAGGGGACATCCAGGGCACAGAGCCAGGGCCACAGCTGACAAGATGGGCTGCTGGGGACATTGCCGCCTCCACACTTGCCTTCCCTTGTGCCAAGTCCCTCCCTGAGCCCTGGCAGGCTCCTCGGCCTTGCTGGGCTGGGTGCCTGTTTGCAGTGTGATTACAGGATTAAATGCTGTGATTGCCACAAATTACTATGGCAAGGCTATAAATACATTGCAGGGAAGACATGAGGGTCCTGCTGTCTCCTGGGCACGATGCCCTCTGTTAGGTGGGGGCTGGACCCTGCACCCTCACCCATTACAAAAGCCAAGGAGCGCCTACATCTTTGATCTGTCTGGAGCCAGCCCCCTCGGGACCCATGTGATGCTCTGGGCATCAAATCGATGGATGACTGCTGCATCCTGGCCACCAACGATGTTGAGGCCATGCCTGGTTCCGTGGGGATGGGAGCCACAGGCCAGAGACTGGGCAGGATTATCCTCAGTATCCCTCACTCCTCCCTAGCAGGAGGGAAGAGTCTCGCCTCCTACGCTGTTTGGGGACAGAGCCTTGCTTCCTTTCCATGCACAAAAGCCAGGAATGCTTTGCTCTGGGAGATGGAGGAAGGGAGATCTAGCCTGCCAGATTTAGATTCTGGCCCCTTGAGAGGTGACTAACAGGACCAGAGCTTCCCCACAGAAACGCACATCCCCCGTCTTCGTCTTAGCAGAGGCCCCTGTAGACAAGCAGGGGCAGCCGTAGGCCACCTTCCCTGTACCTTCCCCACAGGTCTCTGCTCTTCTAAAAGCCAGATATTCCTACCATGATGATTGAGGCCATTGGCTCTGACTCACCCCTAAGACATAACCCTTTCACTCGTCCTTGCCTTTGCTCATGTGAGCCCTCTGCCTGCCTGTAAGCCCTTCCTGCCTTTGCAGACTGGCAAACTTCTACTCATCCTGCAAAACCCTGCTCAATTGCTGTCACCTCCAGAAAGCCATCTTTGATCTATCTAGGCAAAGATGGTTATCCCACAGTAGGTGGCGCTGGTGCTGGCTCACTTGTCTATTTCCCCATCAGACTGTAGGCCCCTTGAGAATAGAGTTCATCAGCTTTCAGGGCCTAGGATGGCATTTTTATGAAAACCTTTTGGAAGATCCCAGGATGCACACAGCCTGTGAGACATCTGTGCGCCATTAAACCCTCAGGAGAAATCAGGTTCAGGGAAGCATCATCCACTGAGAAGCACATTTCGTGAAAGTACTCATGGGAACTGGTATGTAGGAACCTCTAGGGATTCTAGAAGAGTCTGGTCTGGGCTCTATAATTCCACCCCTAGAGGCTTCCTCAGGGACTCTGGTGATAAAAGCAGCTGGCAGGGGGTCCTCAGGAGTGGAGAGCCACATACAGGGGACCCCAGGACCTCATCATTGGGCTGCCTGTTTCTTCCCACTTCCTGTTAATTTCTGTTTGCACGTCCCTATTCAGGCTGGGTCCCTGCAGGGCCCAGGTTTGGGGTGGGTGAGCCCACAGCTGTTTTTGTGACAGTGTTTTTTGACAGGCTTTGAGACAGGCCAGCTACCACAGTGCCAGCTCCTAGTACCCTGCTAGCCCCACATCAGGAGAGGTGGTCCACCCAGCTCACCATGGCTGCTCTTGATGCCTGAAGAATGGAGCCTATTTTTGCTTAATCACAGCCTTGGTGAGGTACCAATTGTGATCATCCCCTCTAATTGCCAATGAGCCACACTGCTCTTGAGACGAAAGCCAAGGTCATCACCCACACACTCAGCACCCCAAGCAAAGCATCACCGCAGCTCGGCTGGAGAGCGTGGCTGTCTCCCTCTCTCTTGCTACCAGCCTCTGGGGTCCACAGG